AACCATTTTAACTCCCCCTCCCACTCCCTGGGTGACAGGTTCATCCTGGGCCTCATCCAATGTCACAATGATGCCACTCGGAAACTGGAGGAGCAGCACCTCATTTTCTGCTTTAGGAGCCTACAGCCCAATGGCCTAAACGTGGATTTTACCATTTTCAAAATCTCCCCACCCCCGGCCTCATCCCATGACCAACCCTTCCCTCCTCCCTGCCTGCTTGACCTGACGCAACCTGAGCATCTTCTGTCCCACCTGTCCGCCCCTCCCACCTCACTGACCAATCCGTACCGCTGCCTGCCTGCACTCACGTATCATCATCCCACCTACCTTCCCTAGTCTCACTCCTCCTCTGTATTTATTTCTGAGCTCACTTCCCCGTCCCCATTTCTGAAGTAGGGTCCCGACCCGAAACGTCAACTTTCCTGCTGCTCTGATGCTGCCTGGCCTGCTGTGTCCTTCAGCTCTACACTGTGTTATCTCTAACCCACCCACCTACATTTTCATCTGAATTATTTGTACATATATCACAAACAGCAGAGGTCCCCGTACAGATTCCTATGGAACACCATGTCTTGGACCTCCAGCCTGAAAAACACTCTTCCACCAATACCCTGTGCCTTCTATGACAAGCCAATTCTGAATCCGTGCGGCCAGGTCACCGTGGATCCCATGCATCTAAATCTTCTGGATGAGCCTACCATGAGAGACAATGCTGAAAGCCTTACAAAAATCGTGATCATAAAATCCCTACAGTGTCGAAACAGGCCAATCAACCCAACAGGTCCACACTGACCCTCTGAAGGGCATCACACGCACAGACCCAACCCCCACCCAATATTTTCCATGGCTGACACATCTAACCTACACACCCCTGCGCACAATGGGGCAATTTAGCATACCCAATCCACCTAACTTGCCCATTTTTCAACTGTGGAAGGAAACCGGAGTACCTGGAGGGAACCCACGCAGACGCGGGGAGAATGTGCAGACTCCACACAGACCGTCACCAAAGGGTGGAATCAAACCCAGGTCCCTGGCTTTGTGAGGCAGTAGTGCTGAACACTGAGTCACTGTGTCGCCCTGAAATCCATGTAAACAACAACCACTGTTCTTACCCTCCATGATCACCTTCGTCACCTCCTCAAAATTCAATCAGGCTAGTCAGACATGATCTGCCCTGCACAAAGCCATGCTGACTGTTCCTAATTAGGCCATGCTTTATCAAATGTGCATAAATCCTATCCCTAAGAATTCTCTCCAATAGCTTCCTAACCACCAAGTGAGACCCACCAGCCTATAGTTTCCTAAATTATCCTGTTTCCCTCCTTGAACAGAGGAACAACATTAGCTCCTAGCCAGTCCTCTGGGATCTCTCCAGTGGCTAGCGAGGATACAAAGATCTTGGTCAAGGCCCCAACAATCTCCTCTCTCAATAACCTGGGGTCGATACCATTGGGCCCTCAGGTCTTATCCACCTTAATGCTCTTCAAGAGGTCCAGCAGCACTTGATCTCAAAATGCCCGAGCATACTGGCACGTTCCACACACATTTCACTATTTTCCATAACCTTTTCCTAGATGAATACCGATGCAAAGTACTCATTTAGGATCTCGCCCACATCCTGTGCCTCCAAGCACAAGTTCCCTCCTTTATCCTTGAGTGGTCCTACCTTCTCCCTCGTTATCCTCTTGTTTGTAGTATATGTATAGAATGCCTAGAGAACTGGCTGATGAAGGTGTAAGGGTGAAGCCAGTCCTGATAAAGGGTGTAAACCCGAAATATCGACTTTCCTGGTCCTCTGATGCTGCCTGACCTGCTGTGTTCCTCCAGCTCCATACTGTGTTGATATGTTGGAGACTGTTCAGAGAAGATTTGCTGGATTGTTGCTTGGAACGACCATGTTGTCTTGTGTGGATCATTTCAACAAACTGGGTTTCCATTGCAATTTAAAAAATGAGAGCTGACTTCCAAGTCTTATAAGAATCTAAATTGTCTTGACAAGGTGGATGTAGAAGCAATGTTTTTTCCTGTGTTCGATTTGTGTTTAGCACCGGACTCTCAACGTTACCAGTTGTTGGGAAATGTGGCATTGAAAACACAGAGATGAGCCATGAGTAGACTGAAGGGTATATTTCTGTACCTGGTCCACTTGTTTTTATGTTCAAGGGCAATTGGGGATGAGCAGTGAATACTGGCTTGACCATTGACACCCACATCCCATGAACCTTTAGCCTTAAATATAGCAGAAATGATCAAAAAAGTTGCAGATGACATGGAAGTTGGTACGTTGGTGAATAGTGGTGGTAAGCTATAAACTGTAGGAGGATATCAATGGACTGGTCAGATGGCCAGAGCATTGGCAATTGGAATTCAACCTGGAAAAGTATATGGTAGTAGATGTCGAGAGTGCTAACGAGGCAAGGGATGAATGGGACACTAAATGGAACTGTGGAAATGCTAAAGATCAGATGGACCATGATGTGCATCTCCACAGATCCTGAAAGTAGCAGGGCAGAGTGATAAGATGGCTAAGAAGGCATACTTGTCTTTATTAGACAAGACATTGAATGCAAGAGCACAGAGGTTATTGTTGGAACTGTCTAAAAGCACTGGTTAGGCCACAGCTGATGTCCTATATACCGTTTTGGTCACCTCATTATAGGAAGGATCTGATTGCCCTAGCGAGGTGCAGAGAAGATTTACCAGGATGCTGTAGGAGTCTGAGATATGAGCAAAGATTGGATGGACTGTAGTTGTTTTCTTTGGAACAGTTGAGCGAGGACTTGATAGTAATGGATAAGATTATCAAGGGCATAGGATGGGTAGAAGAGAATTTTTCCAATCATAGAGAAATAATAATTGGGACATAAATTTAAGATAAAATGTCAGTCTTGAGAGAAGAGCTGAGAATTTTTTTCACTCAGATGGTGGTGGGAATTTGAAACTCTGTGCCTGAAAATGGGGTTGAATCAAAAACTCAACATTTAAGCAGTATTTAGATGTTCACTAGTGTTGCCATAGCCTCCAGGGCTATGGGCCAATAGTTGGAAAATGGAATCGTGTAGGCAAATTTTCGTCACCCTGTGTTGACATGATGGACCAAATTAACTCACCTGTACTGCAAAAACTGAGACTATAAACTAATAAATAAAAACACTCCTTACGGGAGTGAGCCTCACATTCTCCACTGTGTTTGTAAAAGAAATTTACTTTAATTTGCCTCTTGGATCTTTTGGTAGCTCCTTATATTGATGGCCTCTGCAAAAGAGGAAACTTTGTCTCTGATCTTTATCTCTAACTGTCAAAATCTTAAAAGCAATGTTAGCTGTACTACTGTTAACGCCAGATCCCATACATAGAGATATCTGAACTTTTGTAATTGTATATGGTAGTAGCAAAGACTATTCAGGATGAAGTTGGGAAGATTTTTTATTTTCGCTATCTAGGTCAGCGTTTATTGGCTACTGCTGTGTGGCTTTGAGAAGGTGATGCCCTTCTTGAACTACTGCAATCCGTTTGGTTTAGGAACGCTGACAGTACTATTAAGCGGACAGTTTGATGATTTGTTTCCAAGTCAGATTGGTGAGTGGCTTGGTGGGAACTTAGATCTGGATTTTTAAAATTTAAATGTTATCGTCATGTATAGTGAAGTACAGGAGTACAGTGAAAAGCGCATAATGTCATCACACATGGCACCATCTTAGGTACCAAGGTACAAAAACATCTTGGATACAAAGTAATAGAGAAACAAGAGTTAAAAAGTTAAGCATTTCTTCACAGAATAGTAGAAAAATAAATGGGTAATAATTTACTTTAATGTCTTTTGTAGTTTAAACTAGGAAAATAAAAGGAATAAGTGAAAAGTTCAGCAGTCTTTGAGTCCTCCGCTTATCTAGGTCTCCTGGGAGACCTCAGTTGTCTGTTTTCGACGCTAACGCCAAAGATATCGTCCCTGCTGCTGAAGCTGCCTCCTCTCCGATCTCATCCGGTGCCTCGGGAACATGCCGATCCACTCTCACACTGAGCTGAGAAACAGCCATGAGCTGCTGAGAGACAAATCAACATGATGCTGAGAGACCATGCCAGGGCCCGCCCCGAGCCGCTGAGAAACCAGCCCGGCGCCCGCCATAAGCTGTCAAGAGACCAGAGCGCTGTGGGAATAGAGTTCTTGTCTATATTTAAGACTGAGGTATATAAACAGCTATCCTTCCCTGAGAAAGGATTTTCTTGGTACAAAAGAGGTGCATGAAGGTTTACCAAATTGATTCCTGGTGTGGCAAGACTGACGTATGAGGACATTGACTTGGTTAGGATTATAATGACTGGAATTTAGAGGAATGAGGGGGAAATCTCATAAAAACCTATAAAATTGTAACAGGACTAAACAGGTTAGATGCAGGAAGGATATTCACAATGGTGGTACAGCCCCGAACTAGGGACCATAGTTTAAAGGCAAGGAGTAAACTTGTTAGGACTGAGATGAAGAGAAATTTCTTCACCCAGAGAGTGCTGAGCTACAGAAAGTGGTTGAAGCTAAAACATTGTGTTTCAAGAAGGAGATACACAACAGTTCTTGTGGCTAAAGGGATCAAGGGATCAAGGGATATGAGGAGTAGACGAGTAGAGTATTTACCTCAATAGTCAGCCATGATCATATTGGATGACTGAGTAGGCTTGAGGGGTTGAATGGCCTACTCCCCCTGTCTCTGTTTCTTGATCAGTTGGGTTATAAGAAAAGGGCAGGAAAGTGGACATGAGGAATGTCAGATCAGCCATTATCCTATGAATGGCAGAACAGGCTTGATGGGCCCAACAGCCAATTCTGTTCCTATTTATGGTAGCCCTATGGTCTTAGGTACAGTAAGTTTGAAATTATTGAGTAAATTAGATGAAGAAATGATTTGGGGCACAAGCTGATTGCTTTAAGTGTTAAATAGCTTTTGTTCCCTGACAGTTTCTTGTTCGTTAAAGCTATTTTGTTCTTGTATTTTCCAACACAGGCACTGATGAAGCAGGATAATTTGGATGCTTATAATGAGAAAGACCCATACAAAACAGATGATCCTCGTGAAGATGATGATGAGAATGATGATAATGATAACTCAATTGAGGCAGAAACATTCCCTTTAGAGAGGGAAGAGGTTTTGCCACCAGCGATCCCACATGCAACTGTTGAACGATTATCAGTCCCAAAGGGACTACCTTGGGCCCCAAAAGTGAGGTAAACAGTTTCTGCTCACTGTCTGTTATGTGAGTCAAACCAGACTAGATATGTATTCTTTATTTTGGTTTCCTGACAATATATCTTCCTATCACAAACATCAGTGGTATTGGTAAACATAAATTAGGAATTCCCACTCCTTTTTTGCTTTCTGGAAACACTATCTTGCACTGCCCTTTACAATTGTATAATGTATGCTCAATATGTGAAACACCACACTAAGGCCAGGATTTTCCATTTCTGCACTGGCTAGCCTTTGATTTTCATTCCATTTAGAATGGAGAGACAAGACAACTGCTAATGAGTAAGTAAATGTCAGTCTGATCATCAACAGGTTCAGCTGTGAGGAAAGAGAGCTCCAAGCTTGATTGTGCTTTCGTTGATGTTGAAATGAAGTTTATGGAGAGGATCAGGGCAGAAATCTTGTCATTGCCTCTCTTAACAGCAGTACAGCATGAAACAATGAAAGGTGAAGACGACAGGATCCAGCAATAGTAGGAACTGCAGATGCTGGAGAATCTGAGAAAGCAGAAAAATGAACAAAAGAGAAATTGCTGGATCCTAGATAACAAGGTGGAGAGGTGGATGAACACAGCAGGCCGAGGAGCAAGAAGGCTGACGTTTCGGGCCTAGACCCTTCTTCAGAAATGGGGGAGGGGAAGGGGGTTCTGAAATAAATACGGGGAGGGGGGAGGCGGATAGAAGATGGATAGAGGAGAAGATAGGTGGAGAGCAGACAGACAGGTCAAAGATGCAGGGATGGAGCCAGTAAAGGTGAGTGTAGGTGGGGAGTTAGGGAGGAGATAGGTCAGTCCAGGGAGGACGGACAGGTCAAGGAGGCAGGACGAGGTTAGTAGGTAGGAGATGGTGGTGGGGCTTGAGGTGGGGAGGAGGGGATAGATGGGAGGAAGGACAGGTTAGGCAAGCGGGGACAAGCTGGGCTGGTTTTGGGATGCGGTAGGGGGAGGGGAGATTTTGAAGCTTGTGAAGTCCACATTGATACCATTGGGCTGCAGGGTTCCCAAGCGGAATATGAGGTGCTGTTCCTGCAAT